GGGGGGGGGGGGGGGGGGGGGGGGGGGGGGGGGGGGGGGGGGGGGGGGGGGGAGGGGGCATGTCAGCAAAGGCGGGGTGAGCGTTCGGATGGCTGGACGGAGGGTATCGGCACACGCTCATCGTTCTTACACGACAGCTAAAACAGCACGAATCTGTAACGTAGTAGCCCCGTTCAAGCGACCATTTGTCAGAGGACGGCGGCGAACCAGTCGAACAAGAAAAAACAAGCCGTCATCTACCGTCTGCCACAGCTGACGAGTGCAAACAGGACGGTGCCAGAAACAAAAGACAGAACCCAGACAGACAACCAAAAAAAAAAGCACGACAACATCCACCGTTCATTACCGGAGCGTGTAGATTGAGAAGTCACAGAAGCAAGACAGTCACAGGTCGCTGCAATTCGAAAAAACGGAAGGACGCCAACCGCCAGTAACGTCTTCCCGAAAGAAGTAAAGAACCCTGAAATCCCAACAAAACTTACACACGTGCGGACACAATTTCAAAGAGTTCATGACCACAAGATGTCTCTGGGCTTCCCGGACGAAAAGCAAAAGCAAAAAGAACTCACCTCGAAGAGCCTGACCTCACGAGAGTCGAACAGCCTCAGGTCCGCCGTGGTCTTGGTGAACAGCAGGCTCCACAGGTAGATCGACTGCCACGGCTCCTCCACCGCGGCCACTCTCGTCAGAACCTCTACCTCCCCCCCGCCCCCCTCCTTCTCCCTCCCCGGGAAAACGCCTTCACCGCCGACCCCCGCTCCGCCAGAGGCCGCCGCCTCCGGCGGTACGACCCCGCCGCCGGGGGGCGGTCCGGGAGTTCCGGGGGGCGGGGGGAGGCGCCGTCCGTCTTCTCCGACCAGGGACACGCCGGACACCGCCGTCCCTCGCGAGGCTCCTGGGCTTGATCTCCCCGGTGCCGCCGCCGCCGCCGCCGCGGTGTCTGGCGGAGTGGAGGTCAGGTATCCCGCGGCGTCGCCTACCGCCGCGGCGCCTCGCTGGGCGTAGCCCCCGTTCCCGTCCTCGGGCCCCCGCGCGCGTGGGTCTGGGCGTGTAGGGGGAAGAAAAACGAAGGTTAGGTGCCGGAGGCGGGGGTTCGTACTCATGTTTACGCATGCCGTAGGCCACTGACCTCGCATGCCGGGACGGAGCGATATGCCGGGTTTTTCGCCAGCCCAGGCTACACGTTTTACATGGGTGAACCAGAAGCTGGTCGCNGGGGGGGGGGGGGGGGGGGGGAGCCAGCTTGTCTGCGCTTCAGGCGACAAAACCACGGGGCTTCCTACCCCTCTTCGCTATGCGGAGAAATCATGTTTTTTTAGTGTGGGCGGCGTCTTCACTAGCAGTAGGCATTTCAGAGACAAGAGCACGCACGGGCGACGTGTGGCTGATCTGGAGACCACAAGGAAACCACACCTAGCTCCACTCAATACAACAGCAGACACTAAAGAGCAGAAAGATGTCAAGTAGCAAAAGATGGTCTGTGTTGTGGGGCTACGGCAAACAGAGAAAAGAAAAAAAAAGTCCGGGACACCACAACGAATCAAGCGCGTAAATCCCATTCCGGTTAAAAAATGACGGGTTTCACCTTCGTCACCGCCGTCTTCGTCGCCCCACGGGGGGCACAGCCCCGCGGGCCTCAAGACCTTCCTGCGCGCGGAGGACGCCAGGGCACGCACCGCCGCCGCCCTATCTTGTTCCCGCGAGCCTGACAAAAAAAATATAAAAATGTCCCCGCCGAGGGGTGGGGGGGCGGTGGTGTCAGGCAAATGCGTGANGGGGGGGGGGGGGGGGGTCGTGTGGTCTGCTGAACGAGGTGGTGGGCTCCGTGACATTCTCGAGCCTGAGAGGAGCGCGGGGGGAGGAATAGACATATACCCTCTTCCAGGGGCAACGAGGGGTACAGTGATAACAGACAGAGCAAAAGAGAAAAACAGCAGTGCTGTCGTAATAGACATGCTTGCGCGCACCCGTGTGCACGCAAAAAAAGGGGGTGGTTCCCGTTGATGCACGCGTCTGCTGTGGACCGCTTCCCTGCTGCTGCCCACATGCTATCATACCCGTGCCGGGAACACAAATAGCGCAGCCTCAGCGACGATGCTCTGCCACCACGATCCCCCCTGCCCGTACACAACTACTCATCGGAACAGTCACCGTTCCATTTGAATATCATCATCATCACGACCCGCTGTGCAGCCGCTCTCACATTCCCCGCCCCATCATCGCGAAACCCATGGATACCTAGCCCCACAAGCGCATTCCGCTCCACTCTTTAACACCGTATCCCAACAGCAATTTTGAAGGTTGCACGAGAATCATCATCGGTAGCGCTTCTCCCGCACCTGCTGGTCCCGGCGTCCCCGGCGCCGTGGTCGACGGAGGCGGAGCCGTGACAAGAGAGAGCAACGGCCACAGGACTCGACGCATAGCCCACCCCTTCGTTGTGTCATGCCAACATACACACAACATATACACACCATACACGCGCGAGGAAGGTTCGAGGNGATAGCTACGTGGTCGCGTGCCGAAGGTACCAACGAATCACCCCGATCTGGGGGGGGGGAGGATACCCCATGGATGAGAAAAAAACGGATATGTACCCTTGAAAAATGGGGGAAAAAAAAATTGGCATCTAGTTAGAGAAAACATCCGAGCGGGGGAGGGGGGTGGGGGAGGAACGACATAGGTTCTCCAGCAGCAACAATACGCTGGATTCGACGGAGACGGTCTACATGTAGACCAGCCTTGCTGTGTCTTGAAACCATCGAGCTTGAACGACGTCCCCTGGGGGCGGTCAACGCAGGTGTACGTGGCAACGCCGTGCAAAATATAGCAGTCGCGAGACTCCCCCTCCCACCTCCCCGACGCCCCCTTTCAAGCAGGCCTGCGAACGACACCAATGGCCGATACACAAAACAACACCGGCCGTCGACTGTCACCGGGCGCTACTCCTCTTTCTTGCCACCGGGCGTCTCCCCGCTTATGTCGTGCAGCCCACCCAGACACACGCACCCAGGGCTGCGAACTCCCTCCCTCCCTCCCTCCCTCCTACCCTCCCTCCTTCCGCCTGCGGCGTGCGCGGAGAAAACTCACCTCCCAAGGTAAAGACGGCACCCGAGACTCGAACCAAAACTGCTCCGACGCCAGCCGTTCTGCCTCCTTTGCCGATGCCTCCCTTGACCAAGACCCCACTACATCACCAACAACACCGCCATCACCATCACCAACTTCCGTGCCGCCCTCCAGCATTCCACCGTGGGCCGCCAACCACCGCAAGACCCCACCTCCTGCCCAGGGCCGTGTTTCTTGGCCAGCCGCAGCTTGTCCACCCCCCGCATCGTCTGTCCGCTGCTGCTGCTGCTGCTGCTGCTGCTTGCCCAAAAACGTAGGATTGTCTCTAGAGCGGCCGATCATCGCCTTGACCAATTCCGCCTGCTCCTGAACAAAAAAGAGATGGTGCAGTAGGAGGTTTCGAGAACAACAAACAAGAGGGAACGGCTCACGGTGCGGCCGGGCCAGCGGGGGAGAGAAGGCGCTCGCCATCAAGTTCGCTTTTTCCTACCAGCCAATCCAACAACGACAGCCACCACCACCGCAAACAGCTATCGCCCGTGTAGCCAAGCACAACCAAGGCGCGTGATAGGACACTCTTTACGGCGGTGACTGCGTGGTATTTGCTAATAGTGGATTGAAGGGGGGGGGGGGNGGGGGGGGGGGGGGGGGGGGGGGGAGTCTTCGCCTGGCAAGGGTTCGAGAGACTCCGAACGGTTGGTTGCTTCGACACCAAAATGCTAGCCGTGTGCCAAAGAAACGACGGGCAGCAGCGAGAGACGAAGGGAAACAACACAAAAACCCACACAAACGACTGACGTTGCACGCACTTATTTCTGCCAGGTTAGCGAGCGCAATCGACGCCATGTAAAGAAACAACAAACTACAAGATGAGATCAGAACAAGCATTTCATCCTCGTTGGACAAACAAGACAACCAAGAACAAACACCAACCTACCTCGTGATGGAAAACCGCAGCCGCCGCCAGCCCCTCCAGCAGGAGTGATGCCACCGACCAATAACACGGATTCGGGGCCGTCGCCCCCCCGCCCTCTCCCTCCTCCTCTACCAACCCCCCATCGCTACCGCCGCCAACAAGATAGACCTCGAGCGCATCGAGCAGCAACTCTGCGGTTTGTCTCCTGCGAGTCAAGAGGATGTCCACGAATAAAAGGGCTGACGTGAGATGTCTCTTCCTGCTCCCCAGGTTTCTCTATGGGAACGCACAGCAGTGCACTCTTCATGTCTTCGGCATCCCGCGGGTTGGGGCCAAAGCCAGTGTCTCCCATGTGGTCAACGTGCATCAGTACACGCCCACACCAATTGCAACGCCAACAACAACAACAACAACAACAACAACAACAACAACAACAACAACAACAACAACAACAACAACAACAACAACAACAACAACAACAACAACAACATCACATAAAAGAGCAATCACAACAAAAACAACGACAGCAGCACACCGAATACAAGAAAACACTGGCGGCAACACCCGGAACACACTGGGCACAACGCCCCTCGCCAACAACATCTCGAGGCCCTCCCTCTCACCTCATGCCCCGCGTCAGGAACGGACACAAGTTGCGAGCCACCGCAGCCAGTGCAGGAGCCACCACCGCACCCCCGGTCCCCGCCCGGGCGAGCGCGTACACGCACAGCGACAGGACCACCTCTATCATGGTGGTGCCGGGGGCGTCACCTAGATCTGGGGCTGCGAACTCTGCTCCCCGCTGCTAGTTCCGAAACGAGCAATATACGAAAAAACTGGTGAGGATCTATCTGCGGCCGTGGGGGGTAGAACTCAGCAAACTCCAATACGCCATCGCGTCGGTCGACACCAAACCGGACACAAACAAGGAGAAGACGAGCTGGAGTGTTCTTCTTGCCGGCCCAGGGTCGTTGTTGTTGTCGTCGTCTTTTTTGTTGCTGCAGTTGTGCAGTTGTGGGTGTTTTTTCACTAAACCGACTCACGCAGACGCCTTTTGTGGTCACAAGACAATTTCACCTTTCTAGAAATCAAACATGAAATAAATAAATAACAAGGTGCCTAGAAGGGAGAAATCGATCTTCGAGGATCGGCCCAAAAAAAGAAGGGTGTGTGTGGTAATTTTGTCTTGTCCAAACCTATGAGAGAGGAACAAACACACCACTTACCCCTCCCGCACCACCCGCCGCCAGCATGTCTACCAACATGGCGACAAAGCGCACGTTATCGCTGAGGGTCAGGAGCAGCCGGCTCAGCAACACCAACAGGCCAATCTCCTGCGGAGTCAACGACGGCAGCAGCGATAGGGACGAGCGTCAGCAGCGGCGACGGTGGCCGCAACAGCAAAAATCAGCATCGTCCATCATTTATCATCCTTCAGTATCCATTACAGGGCCTGCAGGTGCGACAAAAGCGACCTATTAGCAGCGGTCCCAAAGCACTCAAAGGAGTAGCCCGGGTCTCCAGTCGGTCTCAATACCAACATAACCAACAACAACATCACGAACACAGCAACCGCACAAAAACCAACAGTGCAATAATAAGGCCACTTGTTACGCTGTCTCTTTTTGGGCTGTCCCTTTTCTCAAAAAGGGACAACTGACCAAAAACCACTTGTTACGTGGTCTTTTTTTGCGTTTTTGAACCTCCGAAAAGGGACAGCGAAAAAAGATCACCCCATCCTGTCCCTTTTTGGGCAACTTTGTCCCTTTTTGAGGAAAGGGACAGCCCAAAAAGAGACAGCGTAACAAGTGGCCTAATGATCCCACATTGCCGTTCGCAAACTTCTTCAGGAGCCTCGCCATGCAATCTGAAAGCAACCGGACGAGACCAACAGAACAGCTCGAATTGTAGCGATCCCACATAGCCTTACACAACCAAATGACACCAGCCTCGCTAGGTCTTCCCCTATCATCCTCGAGCGTCAAAACGCATGAATACACATCGATATATTCGGCAGAAGTCGAGAATATTTGAACTAATTGAGCACAACTGGCCGAAAAACGAGCATCCATGGCAGTTATGAGCAGATTTTCGAGGATAACTGGCCCAACAAGAGGGCAAATGCTTCTGCCTGAAAAGAGGACCACATTTTTCGAACAAAAGAGCATTATGGGGACAGACAGCCACACACCACGGGCCCCGAAGGCCCCCCCCCCAAACACAAGGAAAATCGCACCTCTCCATGGGGTTTCCGCCGATTATCTATTCCCCTGTTCCCCCCCTCCATCGCATCTGCTGCCTCCCCGTCAGCGTCAGCGTCAGCGTCGAGATGCTGCTGCTCGGCTGCCTCTATTGTGGCCGCCACGGCACCCCGGAGGAAGTGGCACACGCAAACCGCGGTGCCCCTAACCAGCTCCTGTACAAACAAAAAAAAAACACACACACAACACACGAGAGGACCAACACGTCATTCGTGCATGATGGCCATTCTTGGTTTGTGTGCGAAAAGAAAAACAACAGACAGCGCGACAGGAGGAGTGGAAGATGGACGGAATTCGTGCATGATGGCCGGATTTGTATCGAAAGATCTGTCTCGCTTGTGTGGAATGATCCGTCTCAGTCCTGCAACAAATGGAACGCAACGCGTTATCTTACACGATCGCTACTTCTTGTCGAGGGGTAGAATTATCAGCCTCTCCGCGACTCGAGCAAACCGCACGAAAACTTGCAGCTGCTAAAAACAAAAAGACTCCCAGGTGTGTACTTGGAACAACGCGTGTGTGCCTCTCGTCGTGTACCAGTTGAGATCCGCTACCATCGACTACCGTACGAGTCGGAGAGATGGCACCCCTACGTGTTAGAGGTTTGTTGTGGCGTTTTTCTCCGCAACTAGGAGGGTGCGAATACCGACGCCTCTCAGGAAAGCACTCGACGAGATGTTTCCAAAACTACCCTTTTCGGCAGTGGAACCTCCCCGGTTACGGAGAAATACGCTACACAAAAACGCTGTAAACGGGGGTGCCATCACTTCGACTCGTACGGTATTACTCGTTGCTGCTGCTAATGCCCTTCACGAAGATGCTTTACAACATGGCTGAGGCGCCCTACAAACGGTCTCGACAACACTCTTCGACACGCACCGTTCGAAGAGAAACAGGAAAGTTCTACCTACATCGACGGCGACTCTACTGCTGTGCTGACCGCCGCCTGTTCATTTGCCTCGCTGATACACTACACACAAGAAGGACTGAACTCCATTGCTGCAAATCAATATCACTCCTAACCTACTATCTATCCGATGTATCCCCGTCCCTTTCAACAAGTTTCATCTACACGAAGAACAACAAAACATTGTAGATTTCAAAGTGAGCGGGAAACAGCTATTACTCAAATCTACAGTACAACTGCAACTTTTGAAAAAAAAAAAAAAATGTAATCGATGTACAACAGTCCTACTGCTGTACCTGCTGTAGTCTAGATTCTAATCGCCTAAAACAGCAGTACCAAGAACTTAAAATAAAGCAGCAAGTTGTCAAACGACACTGCGCCGTGTTCCCTGTGAAGGCCACATTCGTTATATAACACAGGACATAACGGAGAGCTTCTCCCCGATAGTTCTGTCGTCGAACCAGTAGAAAACTACAGGGGAGAATGCATCTGCCTATACAGGTGCTTTTGTTCTTAGCACCACCTGGCATCACTGATAACCAAGTGTAAGGATGACACAAACTCAAAATAAGCCCAGTCTCCAGTCGGTTTCAATCCACTTACTTACAAGACTTCACCACATCCCTTTCGACTGAGGTACAGCATATCTCGAACGGGTGGTGTTTCTGTAAGGCGATGTTTACTTTCGAAAAAAACTACCTACGATCTGTATACCCCCCTAGTAAACTACACTCTGTAGGCCCCCCTCACCTCCGAGGCCGCCAGCCTTGGCACAAATCGAGGGTTCTCGTGCACGAAAGCAGCGAAGACCATGAGCGATTCCTGGTGGATGGACAGCAGCGACCCTTGTGGTCTGTAGCCGTTGTGTGGGGGTATGACAAGTCGGCGCGGTTGTTAGGTGTAGCACCATGTACATTTATAGTATACGTGGACATGTTCAAGTCTTGTACGTGCGGCAGACGAGCAGCAGCGATGCATCTACCGACCAGCGTGACTGAATCAAGCCGATTTGGACCAAAATAATCCATCGACCAAACCTACGATACGGTTACTCATAGCCCGTCTGCTAGGTGTAGGTGTTCTACCTGCTTCATGTTGTTTTTTTGCACGTCATCGTTGATGAGGACGGTGGCGGTGGTGGTAATGGGCGGCGGGGACTGGAAAAGAGACAGACATGACCTTTCCGCCCAAACAGACAAACGCCGACCGACCTCTTCCAGAAGCTCACTGCCCGATACGCACAGAGGGACAGAGGGTTACCCGCACGAGACCATACCCGCCGCCTCCACTGCCACCACCACCGCAACAATTTGCACCAAAAAAACAAAAAACAATTACGCAACTGACTCCGTCAAACACGTGACCCAACAGTCACCATCACCCACACTCAGACAGCGTCATCAGTTTCAACAACAGCAGCAGCGGCGAGGACGGCTGGAGAGCGGCAGCACCAAGCTCATCGTGTCCGGCACAACACCACTTGGCGCGCCGTACCCCCACCCAATGCGCGCTGCTACAGTACTACACCACACGCCACTGGCAGAAGACAACCAGCGCGCCCACAAAGGCAACCCAGGACACTAGTAACTCCCTCACCGAGGCCTGTTACCAAGCAGAGACGGCAAAGGTTCCGCAACGTGGATACAGCAACACCAACCGCACGCCAGGACAACAGTAACCGAGCGAGCATGCACGGAAGAGAGCCAGTCCCTTCCTCCCC